TGTATGTCAATTCTAACACATCAGTGTATTTATGCTGTTGTATGTCAACTCTGACACATCAGTGTATTTGTGCTGTTGTATGTCAACTCTGACACATCAGTGTATTTGTGCTGCTGTATGTCAACTCTGACATATCAGTGTATTTGTGCTGCTGTATGTCAGCTCTGACACATCAGTGTATTTGTGCTGTTGTATGTCAACTCTGACACATCAGTATATTTGTGCTGTTGTATGTCAACTCTGACACTTCAGTGTATTTGTGCTGTTGTATGTCAACTCTGACACTTCAGTGTATTTGTGCTGTTGTATGTCAACTCTGATACATCAGTATATTTGTGCTGTTGTATGTCAACTCTGACACATCAGTGTATTTGTGCTGCTGTATTTCAACTCTGACACATCAGTGTATTTGTGCTGTTGTATGTCAACTCTGACACACCAGTGTATTTGTGCTGTTGTATGTCAACTCTGACACATCAGTGTATTTGTGCTGTTGTATGTCAAGTTTGACACTTCAGTGTATTTGTGGTGTTGTATGTCAACTCTGACACATCAGTGTCTTTGTGGTGTTGTATGTCAACTCTGACACATCAGTGTATTTGTGCTGTTGTATGTCAACTCTGATTCTTCAGTGTATTTGTGCTGTTGTATGTCAACTCTAACACTTCAGTGTATTTGTGCTGTTGTATGTCAACTCTGATACATCAGTATATTTGTGCTGTTGTATGTCAACTCTGAAACATCAGTGTATTTGTGCTGTTGTATGATAACTCTGATACTTCAGTATAGTTGTGCTGTTGTATGTCAGTTCTGATGCTTCAATGTATTTGTGGTGTTGTATGATAACTCTGATACTTCAGTATAGTTGTGCTGTTGTATGTCAGTTCTGATGCTTCAGTGTATTTGTGGTGTTGCATGATCTGTCTGGAAAGGGTTAAGAAGATCACCAGTATAGGGTATTCTTTGAACGCTCTCGAAGGATGGTTCTTTAGGTATCTTGCATTGATTCTTTCACCTATTCAGTGTGTGATTCTGCTATATATGTGAGGTGATGTACCATATCAGAAGTTATAATTTTCCTGTACCGAAAATATATTTCCAATAGTTGCTTATCTCCTTTAACACTTCCTACCTCACTGCCTAATCTCAAAGTGATAGTTTGGTAGAATTGAGAAGAGGGAGTCACATGTGTCAGGAGGCTATGTTGCATGATGATTTGTATGTGAGATGCTGTGGAACCAGGATAATCATGGGGTAGTTGAAATGCAACATTTGTGGCATGCGAAAAAATTTTGTATATAGAGGGCAGCACTGAACGAGAATAGCAATATATGTGAGGGGAGTTAAGTACCTATTGGAAATATATTTTCAGTATAGGAAAGTTATAATGTCTTCCTGATTTCAGGTTTTACATTTTTATAATTAAAGTGTGTTTAAAAACAGGTACCTATCTCTGAAATACCTTCCTTTCTGAGTCCTTGCAGCAGGATTTTCATCATGACTGCAACTTTCATCAAAATATAAATGGTGGAAAGCAAAGCTTATGTAAAATCCCTTGATGCTTGCAGAGTAAGTCACATGGATGGTGGGAGAATGGATAATTATGGATAAGTGAAGCATGCTCTATAATGCATAAAAGACATTTTAAAATTTTTAGTCACATGTTTTGTTTACAGTATGAGATCAAACTCAACAAGGAAAGACTTTCAGTATTTCAGAGGTAAGTTCATGTGTGAAAGTCAATTTAGTTATAAAAAAACCTAAAATTTGAGAATAGCTGGTTAAGACCATCATACACACTTCTCTAAAGAATAATAAGATAGTGCCTTGGCATAACGTTTTTTGTGCAAATGGCAAGCCGTTGCAAGACCTCTCACCCCTGCATGTAATAATGTGTAATAAGCTAGCTTATGTTGTTAAGAAACATCAGACCATACTTACCCATCAGTAGGAGGTTTGCACAACCTCCTTGTGTAGCACTTCCCTAGGGCTCTTTGTGTAAACCAAAAATTCATTGTTTTCCTCGACACTTCCCTCTCTCCCTACTAACCTTTTCTAGTGGAAAGGGCAAGCTGCTGGGGGGAGGGGTTGATAAGGAGAGTTTCCCTTCAGGTTGGTGTAATCCCACTGGTATGAGATTAAGTAGATACACCCATTGATAGAAAGTATGGTAAGGATGTAAACATAGTAGTACAGGTCATTCCCAATACTAAGAACTGGACCATTCCTGATGGTTGTGAGAAGCAGAATGGGTATTGAGTTCTTGGGATACATGTCTTGGATGATTCATTGCTGAACAGTCTTATTCTTCTAAACATTTCTCATATATGTTTCATTGCCAAACATTTACACACATACTGTATGACTTTACATGTGTGTTTTAGCAACACTTTAAACCTATCGCAATGGGCTCTTGTATCTTAAATGATCTTGTAACCACAGTGGTATACATATTATAAGTACTTAATTTATTTTCATGAAATTTGGCAAACTTTCAGTAAACATTAAAAGTGTTTTGTAGACAAAAAATCAGAATTTTTAATTAGGTATTGTTATTAAAACTTTGTATTTATTTGGAGTCAGAGTGTTAACTGCTCTGAGTGCAAAATAATTTTCAAGTTAAGATTAAAAATACTTTTCTTCATCTGAAATTTTTCAAATTTTATTTTCATAATTCCTAAAACCTCCTAAATAAATATTGAACTTTTTTTGAAGAAAAACTATATTTCATCTGTTATTTTCTGTACTATAACTCTATATGTGGTTTGTCGATTTGATTGACCTCATAACCACCATTCACAATTAGGAAATAAATTTAAATTTCCTTCTTTCTTTGGGAATGACTGTAAATTGTGACAGGAAACCACAATTGTTTATCCTAAATTGCTTAAAGCTTATAACAATATACATCTATTTATTCCTAAATAATATTTCTTTTTTGTCCTCTGAACCATGTCCAACTAATAATCCTGCTACACAAGCTGTAAATCACTCGGTGAACATGAAGTTCTCATTACTGTATTGAATTGCATAATGCACAAGCTGCTCTCAAACATACCTCATGAAGAATTTTTATTATTATCTTATTTAATCTAGCCTAATAAGGTTATAATTTTTACACACAAAAAAACAAAAAATATTATAGTATTTACGTGGGTCTTTGTTTTTTTACTGTTGACTATCAAGGAAACTTAAGCCTATTTTTTATTATAATGGTACTACTAAATTAATATTGTGTTATTTAATCAAATTATGCACCTAAGAACACAAAATAATAACACGTAAAAAGCAGATAATGTCCTATAACCATCATAATGTTTTGGCTTTCTAACTTTGCAATAAGTGCCTTTAGAAATTCAGCTAATTTCATTAATATGTTTTGTATGGGAATAAAGTTTGAACTGGAAGTGAAATAGACAATTACATGTACAGAAAACAACATAATGTAATATGTCATTTGATAAATTAAAACTTTGGCTTTGTGTTGATTATAAATAATGTAGTATCAGATAGAACTATTGGCAACTTGTGAAAAGAAGATGTGACAGATGGGCATGGCAAATGGATGTGATGTTCCAGTTTATGACTCCATAAACAAATAAGGTGGAAAGCTATAAGAATTTAGCTTTGATTGAGTATTAACTATATTATAATAAGTAATGTACACTAATTCTGTACTTATTGGGGTGGGTAAAGAGATTAAAAAAGAGGGAAGGTCCAGAACAAATGTCACAATTCTCATAATGGGAGAGCTTGAAGATTTTTTCAAATATTTCCTAATAAAATAAGATCTTAATCTTATATTAAAATTTGATTTATTAACTATGTTTTCATGCCAAATTTATTTGTATACATGGATAATAAAGTAGTTTAATTAACTTTTGAATGTAACTGTAAAAAGTTGTAACCTGTGCACTGTGACCTACCAAACACTAAAGGGTTATCTTCTTTGGGTTATGTAGAGGGGCTGAGCATCCTCCAAATTTCTACTGCCATTGCAACCTTTGGCAGAAAGCAGGAAGTTCTTTTTTAAGAACCTTTCTTAATAACTACTAGTACTGGATGTAGAGTATTCCCTGCTAAAGATGAATGCAGTCTCTCACTGAGTGCTGTTCCCATTTGTGGTGGTGGTGAGGTTATGGTGTGATGTTGTTTAGGAATATATACTAGTGCAGTACATGGGTCAGAGATCTCTCAGTGACTTCACAAAAAAACTTTTCAGTGATGCTAGCTAATTATTTTGCAGAGAGATGAGTATCTATCAGAAGTACATTATGAGGTATGGAGAATGTTAGCTTTCAAAGGAACCTTCTGTAAGCATATGTTGAATCAGAAATTTTTTTAAGTAATGACAGTTTTATATGTACCTCTGTTTTCTAATATTTGCTGTAGGACTTCTTAGGTAAGATGGAATGCACTTTAGGAGAAATAGTGTCTTGTCAAGGAACCCAGTTTCGAAGAAATCTTCAGTAAGTATTTATAATTACTTGTAATTTATTGTTGACTCTAATTCCTCAATGCTTTTGTATAGTTCGACAGTTCTCTTATTAATTTATTTCCCTATTTTGTGTTTTCTGTGTGCTTATGATGGTACTGAATCAATATAATGGGCATTTTTTATGAATTATTATGTGAATTTTATTATTTTATTTAGTATTCATCAGCGATATGTAATTTATACAGAATTTTACTTCTTCATGGACAAATAATACTAATTTGCTAAATTGCCTAAGTATGATATACTTGCCCCAGGTGGCATGTATGCGGAGTTATACTGCTAGAAACCGGGTTTCAATACCCGTGGTGGGCAGAGCACATATAGCCCTTTGTGTAGCTTTGTGCTTAATAACAAACAACAACATGATATACTTTAAGTAGTGCTTGATTTTACAAGATACATTTAACACATTATTTTGAAGTATGTCAGTTTTATACAACATAATAAAGTTGTATAATTTATTGTAATTAGAAAACTAGCAAACAAAAGTTATGATAATGACAATGAATATGCTGAGCAACAAAAAGAAAATTGATTTCTTTATCTAGGATTAGCAACTTCTTAATGTATATCCATGAACTAAAAATAAATACAAGTTGATTGAACATTTGGAAGCTGTTTAGTTATTCTTGGTGTTATTTGTTAGAGATCTAGACCTTTCTGTAGTAATTTTTTACACCAGTTTGTCTGGCAAGGAAACTAGGCTCTTTTGATCACTCCATGTCAAATATGTGACATGATTAAATGGTAAAAACATTTTTTTTATTGACCGTAATGTTGTGTAATCTTTGAAGACCATAGATAAAGAGCTATTATGATTTTTCTCCTTACGGCTTTAAAAAAAAGAATAAGTGAAAGTTTGTAGTTAATTATTTAATGTGGTTTAATTATTGGGACATAATCAATATTATTCTGTTTGTACCTTAACGACAGTTCACACAAACAAGCAAGTTAAATGTCATCTCAGGTTACAATAAGGATTTCCTTTGTGAAGATAAAGCACCTGCACATATGTAGAAACCTTTAAAATGCATACTAAGTATGGCAGAAACAGATTGACAGCCCTGCAAATACCATGTTAATTTCTAGCAACCACACCACAAGCTAGAGGATGTAAGTTCACTATCCAGTTAGAAGATGTATACAGTGTGCAAAGCTGTCTGTGAAATTACTTGGGATGTAACTGGCAACTGTATATGATGTGAAAAAGATGAAATCATTTGCAGATGAATGAACCAGAAAATTACATTGTGTACAAGTGCTTATTATAAATATTCTTTCTTTCTCCTTATAAATATTAACCATTGAGCTTGATAATATGGTTTAACTGTTTTTCTTTCTCCTTATAAGTATTAACCATTGAGCTTGATAATATGGTTTAATTGTTTTTCTTTCTCCTTCTAAATATTAACTGTTGAGCTCAGGAATAAGGTTTAATTGTTTTTCTTTCTTCTTATAAATATTAACTGTTGAGCTCAGGAATAAGGTTTAATTGTTTTTCTTTCTCCTTATAAATATTAACTGTTGAGCTCAGAAATACGGTTTAATTGTTTTCTTACACTAAACTATTTTATTCAATCTAGAAAAAACTTGCTTGTTTTAGTGAAAGTGATATTTTATTTAATCTGTTCCTTTTAATAATATTTTAGGGGAACAAGGTACCATCCATCCTACATAATAGGTAAGTTATTTAAAACACTTCTGTTGTTATCACATGGTATATGTACTGATCTCATTAAAGCTATATATTTTAGGAATCCTTTTTGTTTTAAATAAAATAAAGGAACTTGAACATTATATTATCAACTACTGATATTTTTCCTCATTTCTTAACTTTAAGTATATGTTTTTCTTATCAGTATGTTATAAATACATAGTTATATACGTACATAAACTGTGCAGCACAAAAAAAAAACTAAAGATAATGTAACAGAAGAACAATGATTAAAACTTTTAAAAGTCTGCATATAAATGAATGAGAAGGGAATTTGAAGATTTTTGTTTTAAATAATGATTCATAGTAAGGAGCTTCATTATTTATTATTTAATCTATGTGTAAAGTATGTATTTGATTTGCTACATCTAAGTTATCATACTTCTGAGTTTCTATAAATGTCACTTAGGTCTTTAAATGCTGATTATTTATATCGTGGAAATTAGAAACTGCATTCAGCGGAAGGAAAATTTTTTAACTTCTTTGTATTATTGAAAACATTGTTTTATATTAAAATAACGTTTTTTACAAACATATGTGGATTATAGCATTAAAAGGTTATTTGAATTGATTCATATTTTTTATATATATATAAAAAACATAATATTTTTTTTTCCTAAATTTTTCATTCTGGAGTGGATTAGCTGTAAGACTCTGGACTTATAATGATAAAAAATTGGGATTTGATACCCATGCTGGACACAGCACAAATAGAACATTGAGTAGCTTTGTGATTAACAACAACAAAATGAATGCACTAAATTCCCAATTATTTTATCTTGTATTTAAACTTCATAATATATAAATATTAGAGTTTTGGAATGTAAGTTTATTGTATTTGAATTGAATCACCCATGAATCTTAGTTTGACAGTATTAAAATACAACAGTTTTTGTATTAAGATTTGATTTATGAAACAACTTATTTTTTAACAGTGGTATCTGAAGAAGTGGGATCCTGTAAGGTAGGCACATGTTCACCTAGTATTATGTTCAGAATTTGGTAAGTTCACTCAAACAGTCCAGAATTACCAGTTACTGTTGGTTGTTGTTGGATAGAACTTTTCATCAGGTAAAGTAAAGAAATTTGGTGGTGTTCAACGAAAATCCTTCAAGTTGGAATTAAGTTAAACATGGTATTAACTAGAACTTTTAATTAGATGTCAAGGTACTGATGACTTGGAAAGAAGTAATATAAAATAAAAAGAACCTTATAATAATACAACTAAAGCATTAATTATAAACAATGTCATGAAGCCTCAGTTCTACCATTGTTGTAACAACACACTGAAGCTTGTTATTACCTCCAAGTTCAAAGTAAAATGTTAACTATAAACAATGTCATGAAGCCTCAGTTTTACCATTGTTGTAATAGTACAGTGAAGCTTGTTATAATCTCCAAGTTCAAAGTAAAATGTTAACTAATAAACAGTGTCATAAAGCCACAGTTTTACCATAACTAATAAACAGTGTCATGAAGCCACAGTTTTATCATAACTAATAAACAGTGTCATGAAGCCATAGTTTTACCATTGTTGTAATAGTACAGTGAAGCTTGTTATAACCTACAAGTTCAAAGTAAAATGTTAACTAATAAACAGTGTCATAAAGCCACAGTTTTACCATAACTAATAAACAGTGTCATGAAGCCACAGTT